AAAAAAAAAAAAAAAAAAAAAAGGAAAGAAAGAAAATTCTTATAAACGAGTCCCAAATTACTTTGAAATAAAAACAGTTTCATACATATATACCATTTAAGATGGTTTTTTCTGAAAAAGAAAACTCTAATAAACAGAGGTAATTATCTGAGTCTTTGTTATACATAACAAGGATGGAGACCTCAAAAACTACTAAACCTGAAAAGAAAAGTATGCTTTAGCTCTTATCTTCCTTACCTAGTTTGAAGTACTCTTCATAAAGTATTCTTTTTACATGTATGTAATGCTAAAGATCTCAGATTTTCTACAAATTCAAATCAATCAACAGTTTATCTCTGAAGTTTAGTTCTTCCTACATATTTTAACCAGAATCAATAGCTCTGTAAATCACAAACAATAGTCTACATCACAAAAGAATTCATTCATATTAATCTTTAATGATTACAAATACAAGTTTCTAAATAAAAGACATTGTTAAGCATCACTAACATTTGTCATATAAATTAATAAAACATTTGCTTTTAAATACAGTAAATAATAGCTAACATTTACTGAATTCTAAATTATAAGTAGCATAGTTAATTCTCACAACAACCCTAAGAAGTGCTTATGTTCTTAAAAAGTAGAAAAAAAAAAAAAAAAGAAGTGCTATTATCATCTACATTTTACAAATAAAATGAGGAATGTAGATCAAGTAACTTATCCAAGTTCCATAGCTAATAACTGGCAGAACTAGCTTTTGAACCCCAGCAGTCTACAATTAACTGGTATTTCCTGAAGGCTCCATCCAGTAACCTAAAAGCCTCCATCCAATAACTCTAGAAGGCTCAGAAATTAATATGAAGATATCTTTTGTCAGGTTTCCCATCTGCAAACAGAATGCCATGGTGCTCCACTTCCAACTTTTCTTCTTCCTCACAAAAAAGATGATTTCTAAGCCCTACTTAGCTTTCTACATACATTTTATTATTCCTGTGCATTCTAAATAATAAGGTCTCTATGATACAAAGGGTTTTCTTAAAACCATGTTCTTGCTTCTAAATGTAATATTTTATGTGCCTAATCACATTGAGATCCATTAAGTATGGTTTAATACTGAAATATAAATTTGTGGTTTTAAAACATTTCCAATTCTCTTACAAAAAATTATACCTTCTTAAAATATGACTGCAATCTCAATTTTGTATTGTATTTTCACAGTAATAACTATATATACATATAAGATACAAAGCGAAGTTACGATTTATGGATACAATGCAAAATAACTAAATGAAGGCAGTAAACATGTCCACTTCAAATACTTAACATTCTTTGTGGTGAGAATATTAGAAATGTACTCTCTTAGCAATTTTGAGTTGTACCATACTCTACCTTTTCTTTATCCATTCATCATCTTAGTTTGATTCTGTAACTTGGCTATTATGAATATTTCTGCAGAGAACATGGGAGTGCAGACATCTCTTAAACAAACTAATTTAAAATGTTTTGGGTTTTATATCCAGAAATATCCAGAAATGGAATCGCTGGATCATAAGATAATTCTATTTTTAGTATTTTGAGGAAGCTTCACACAGTTTTCCACGTGTGTACTAATTTACATTTCCACCAACAGAGTACAAAGGTTTCCTTTTCTTTACATCGTCATCAATATATATATATATATATTTTTGCTAACGGTCATTCTGAGAGGTGTGAAATTATATCTCATTGTAGATTTAATTTGTATTTCCTGGATGACTAGCAATGTTGAGAATTTTTTCATATATCACTAGGACTTTTGTATGTCTTTTATTGAGAAATGTATATTCAGGTCCCTTTCCCATTTTTAATGTTTTTTTTTTTTTTTTTTTCTTTTTTTTTTTTTTTTTTTTTTTTTTTTTTTTCTTTTTTTTTTTTGGATATTAACCCTTTATTTAATGGATGATTTGAAAACCTTTTCTCTCAATCTGTAGGCTGTCTCTGCACATTGTTTCCTTTGCTGTACAGAAGCTTTTTTGTTTGCTATAATCCCCTTTATCTATTTTTGTTTTTGTTACCTGCACTTTTGGGTTCAAATCCAAAAAATCAATGCCTAGATCAATTTTGCATAGTTTACCCTCTAAGTTTTCTTCTAATAGTTTAACAGTTTCTGGTCTTATCATTTAAGTCTTTAATCCATTTTGAGCTGATTTTTGTATATGTGCTGACATAAGGGTCCAATTTAATTCTTCTGCATGTGGATATCCAGCTTTCCTCAACATCATTTGCTGAAGAGACTATCATTTGCCATTGTTTATTGTTGACAACTTCGTCATAAATCAATTGACCATACATGCATGGGCTTATTTCTAAGCTCTCTATTCCATTCCATTGGTGGATGTGTCCATTTTTATTTCATTTTAATATTTGTTTTGCCAGTACTACAGTATTTTTACTTACTATAGATTTGTAGTACAATTTGAATTCAGGTACTGTGATGCCTCCAGCTTTGATTTTTTTGCTCATGATGGCTTTGGCTATGCAGGTTTTTGTTGTGGTCCCATATAAATGTTAGGATTTCTGAATCTATTTCTATGAAAAATGATGTTGGAATTTTGATATGGGTTGCATTCAATCTGTCGATCATTTTGGGTAATGTGAGCATTTTAAGAATATTAGTTTTTTTAATGCAAATATGGGATATCTTTCCATTTATTTGTGTCTTCTTCAATTTCTTTCACCAATGTTTTAGTTTTCAGTGTACCAGTGTAGTTAATTTATATATGTATGTATGTATACATGTATGTACATATATATTTATGAGACAGGGTCTTGCTTTGTCACCTAAGCTGGAGTGGAGTGGCAGGATTGTAGCTCACTGTAGCCTCTTTACTGCTGGGTACAAGCAAACCTCCCATCACAGGATCCTTGGGATGTTGCTTTGTTAGCCAGAAACCTCTGTGGCCAGTGGCACCTTTGCCTGAGTTTTGCTCAGGCCTGCTGGGCTCATTCTGCCCACTCGCCCATGCACATTAAGTTCGGCTCAGGATACTGGCCCAGATCCCATACTTGTGACGGGTGAGTCTGGCATGGAGTGGCGAGGGGTGTGTAAGCCAGCGTGGGGTCCAGCCACTGTGCAGAGCCAGGTGTGCTGGCTGCAGTGGGGGTGGACAGCCCCAAGCTCTGGCACAGGCACCAGCTCCATGCGAGGCTATGGCCAGACCAGGCATACAGCAAGCAGTTTCCACCAGACACCTGGGAATGCAGTGGCACCTGGAAGCTTGGAGATGCCAGGAACCACAGAGCCCCAAAGAGTGTGTCACAGCCCTGGCTCAAGGAACCCCCAGGTCTGGGATCCCAGGAGGGCCACAGCTCTTCTCTCCTTCTTGTTGCCTGCATTGTGGTGACTAGGGGACATGTTTTTGCTCTGTTTGTGTTACTGCTCTTTCAGTCATGCCATTTGGTAGGTCCCAAGTTCTCATTCCCTGTCCAGCAAGAATGAGGTACATGGACAACTGGAGGGTAAGCAAGGCAGAGAGGAGCTTCACTGAGCAACAGAACGGCTCCTTAAGTAGCTCTTTTCTGCAGACAGGTCGTCCCTACGAGTGTCCAGCTCTCAGTGGAAAGAAGACCCATGATGGGTGGCTACTTTCTGCAGTCTGGTGATTTGAAGAGTCCAAGAGACCTGAAATGGGTAGCTCTTTCCCACAGCTGGTAGTCCCAACAGTCTGTATGAGTCTGGCTGAGTCCAGAGTTTTTATGAGCTTCGGAAGAGAGAAAGTACATGCTGATTGCTCCATCAGCAGCCATGGCGGGTCTGGAAAAAGCACCATAAGTTCTCACTCTGGGTGGCAGACGCCACCTGGTCTGACAGCCCAGCCCCCATGCTTCAGGCTGTCCCTAGTTTGAAGGTGGGGCTTCAGCAGGGACCTGTCCTTTTCCACCCAGGAGCCTGTCTTCCTCCTGCTTCCATCAATCATGTAATCCAGGGAACCCAGGCTGTTCCTGTGGAGGGATGTTTACAGGCCTGCACCAGCCACCCTCTGCACTCCCCAAACCCAGGCCTCCCTCCCAAAGTTTCAGAGGGGGCTGAGGTGACAAGGGGAGCTGGCAAGTCTGCACAGCTCTGAGCATGTGCACACTTGACTGGGTCACAACAGTGCCCTGGCTCGACTTCAACCTTGCTCTGAAATCAGAGCAGGCACTGGGAGCAAGGAGAGGCCAGGCAGCAGGAGCAGGTATTTTGGAGCCTGCAGGGGCAGGGTGGGCTTCCCAGGCCCCTGAAAGTGCAGGGATGCAAGGGTCTGCAGCCACTGCTGGGCAGCTGCAGGTGCACTCAGGAGGGAAGGGCTCCCTACTGTTAATGGTTCCTGTGAACTCCACAGGGCACACAGCTTTGGCTGCACCTCCCCGGCCTGCAGCTGAATTCTTTGCAGGAGCAGTCCCTGACAGGCCACCACAGCCAACACTCACACCTCAGCCTCCTGAGTAGCTGTGACTACAGAAACATGCCACTGCACCTGGCTAACTTTTAAAATTCTTTGTAGACATGGTGTCTTGCTATGTTGCCCACGCTGCTCATGAACTCCTGGTGTCAAGCAATCCTCCAGCCTTAGCCTCCCAAAGTGCTCAGATGATAGGTGTGAGTCATAGTGCTCAGCCAAATATTTTAAAAAAGTTTTTTGTAGCTATTGTGGGATTATTTTCTTGACTCTTGGAGAGTTCACTTAGTGTATAGAAATGCTACTGATATTTGTATGTTGATTTTTGGAATCCTGCAACTTTACTGTACTTATTTATTTACTCTAATAGTTTTTTTGGTAGAATCTGTAGGGTTTTTTATACATAAGATCATGTCATCACCAAATAGTGATAGTTTTACTTCTTTTATTATCTGGATGCTTTTTATTTGTTTCTCTTGCCTAATTGTTCTGGCTAGGACTTCCAGTACTATGTTGAGTAAGAGCAGTAACAGTGGGCATGTTTGTCTTTTTCTGGTTCTTAGAGGGAAAGCTTCCAGCTTTTCCCATTCAGCATGATGTTAGCTGAATGTCATATATAGTCTTTATTGTTTTGAGGTCCATTTCTTCTATACCTAATTTGATGACAAATCAGGTTTGTTTTTTTTTTTTTTTTATCATGAAAGGATGTTGAATTTTGTCAAGTATTTTTTCTTTGTCCATATGAGATGATCATCTCTCCTTCAGTCTGTTAATGTGATGTATCACATTTGTTGATTTGTGTATGTTGAACTATCCTTGTATCCCAGGGATAAATAACTGTGGATCATGGTGGATAATATTTTTAATGTGTTGTTTAATTTGGTTTGCTAGTATTTATTTATTTTAAATGTTTGACAGAATTTAGCCATAAGCCATCAGGTCCTGGGCTTTTCTTTGATGACAGACTTTTGATTACTAATTCAGTCTCCTTACTTGTTATTGGTATGTTTAGATTTTCTGTTTCTTCATATTCAGTCTTCATAGGCTGCGTATGTCTAGGCATTTATCCACTTCTTGTAGGTTATCTAATTTGTTGCGATAGAATTGTTCATAGTAGTTTCTCATGATCCATTCTGTTTCTGTGGTATCAGTGTCTTCTCTTCCATTTCATTACAATAAAATTTCATTCTAGTTTTAAAATATGGCAATTTATATAGATAGAAAACATGCTTTCTCCTTCCCTGAGCTATTGGGTTATATTAAAGCATAAACTTTTATAGGTGATTGCTTTCATAGTATTAGTATTATGCAACTGTCATAGCCTTCAAGACCCCAGTCATTCTGATCTGATAGGTGACTTTAAAAACAGTTGTAATTCACAAAGATAATACATGGCTGGATGGAAACTGATCATAGCAAGAAGTTACAAAATAAAATAAAATTGCCGGGCGCGGTGGCTCACGCCTGTAATCCCAGCACTTTGGGAGGCTGAGGCGGGTGGCTCACGAGGTCAAGAGATCGAGACCATCCTGGTCAACACGGTGAAACCCCGTCTCTACTAAAACTACAAAAAATCAGCTGGGCCTCGTGGCGCGTGCCTGTAATCCCAGCTACTCAGGAGGCTGAGGCAGGAGAATTGCCTGAACCCAGGAGGCGGAGGTTGCGGTGAGCCGAGATCGCGCCATTGCACTCCAGCCTGGGTAACAAGAGCGAAACTCCGTCTCAAAAAATAAATAAATAAATAAATAAATAAAAATAAAATAAAATAAAATTGCAAAGAATCTTTTATTTCAACAGAAATCAAACATTCAAAAAATTACAAATTTGGTTTTTAAAAGATTCCAAATTTCTTCAGTATAACAATGCAATCCACAAAAGATTTGTTTTCTCAACTGTTTTTAACTCCGAGAATAATTTTAGCCTGAGAATATTTCAGCCATTACTTAGTACTAATTCAGACTATTAGTAGGTTTATTCCAGATTACTCTCTTAGTGGACCTCAAATTACTTTTTAAATGATTTTAATGCAACTATTATCCTTTTGTCACAAAGAGCAGAAGAATCCCTTATTGGGTATGGCTAGGTCACTTTCAGAAACAAAGAACCAAAGGTAATTCTAAATTCTGTCCACCAAATTAAGCTTTGTGTTTACCCCTCCTGCAACGTGCCCAGACAATATGGCTTCAGTAGGAAGCTATTTTTAAAGTACAAAATCTGGTACAGATTTGGGCTTGCTGGAAAAAAAAAAAAAGTACAAAGAAACTAAAGATCTCTGTGAAAGTTCATAATAACCAGGCTATTCAAAGTATTAACAGTAAATGAAATATTTGTATTAGAGAATAACAAAGAGCAATCCTTTTATTCCTCACAAGCATTTTCTAAAAATATCTATCAGGTCTGCATAGGGTATCTCTTCAGTTGAAAATAAATAAGCAATTTTGTTCCGAGGTACCACCTTTATTATATCCATTACTTGGAGAAGAATAGTGAGTGAATTTTGTGTGACTTGTATGCAAACACCTTGAGAGCTTTTTCTGAGAGAAAGAAGTACAATGTTTTATCAAATATAGTTCCAATAACTTGTATGTTAACATTCTGGCAATCATATCTTCAACTTTAACCTTATCAATGTATTGGGCTTGTTGACATTAATGATCTAATAAGGCTGGGATTCAGTGAATGAGCTGGCAGCTCATTCATTTCTCTAATTCTATATAGTTTCTCCCTGACTTCAAAAATAAGGTTCTTGAAAATCTCTCTGGATCAAGAACTCAAGGTTGAGAAAATTAATAAATTGTAGAGAAAAACGGAATTAGGTGATTAAGATCAGGTGAACATGAAAGTCTATGTCAATAGGCCTACAGTCACTAAAACAAAATTTTTAGAAGGATAGCAAACTAAAGATATAATCAATGACAATTCATGTATCTTCATTTTAGGGATAATTTCCATTTATTTTTCCATTCTTGCTAGTACCTTTTAGGAACTTCCTCTGGGCAGTGTAATAGAAATGCTTATGATACTCTTTTACTTTAGAAATATATATATATATATACGATCTTACTGTCTGCTTCCATCCAAATAATGGCACCTTTAGAAATTTATGACTAGTATGTTTATGCTACCTTCTCTTCATATCTTCTCACATTTTGTTTCTTGCCGCAATGAATCCTTACTCAGTGGTCTCTCTGACATTTCTTTTTTATTTTAATTTTTTTTAATTTGAGACAGGGTCTTGCTCTGGTATCTAGGCTGGAATGTATTAGCACAATCATGGCTCACCACAGCCTTGACCTCTTGGGTTCAAATGATCCTTCCACCTAAGCCTCCCAAGTAGCTTAGACTCCAGGTCTGTGCCACCATGCCCAGCTATTACACATTTCTAGTAGTATATCCCTCCTCACTGGTACCAATAGAGAGTACAGTTCGAAATCCCAAGTTTACTTACCTACTTTATCAATTTCATGACATTCTTAAAAAAATCACTACCACTGACATCATCTTGGTTAACTTTTCTCAAATATCACATTCCTTTTTCTCATTATGACCACCAACAGGAATTGCCTACATTTCCAGAATGCCAGAAATTATTTTTCAATGCTAGAAAGTTCTATAGAGGAGAAAAAAAAAGAGAAGAGAAGAAATACAACAGTGACAACTACTGCTGACTTCACTGTTCAGGTTTATCCTAAAAATATTGATGGAATTACTGGGTAAGAGACAGGGCTGTTGAAGGAAATTAGAACTAGAGGGTATATTTAAATTCCTTCTGAATCATGGTAGCCTTGAGGGTCTCTTTCAACTCCATGGTTGGATGAAGTAGCCATTACTAGAACTTAGAAGAGCAAACAAGAAAAAAATACTTTCACAAATTAAACACCAAAGTTGTACTACACTGTTTTGGATGCAGCCAAAAGAAATCTATAAGCACTTAACAGGATATCATGATTTTTAAAAAAGTCTAAAGCAATACAGTAAAATATACGCATTAGTTTTACCAGTCATCAGTCTATTACCTAACATATTTAACTAACCCCAAAGTGAAAACAATCACAATATAATAAATTGGTGGTGGGCTACCATTACATACAAAATAAAGCAAGCAAACAAATCACCAGAAAACAAAAACCAAAAACCAACAACAACAACAACAACAACAACAACAACAACAAAACTGCAAAGATTTGGGATTTGGCTCAACAAAAAAATGATGTTCCTGTTGATGATAAAATAGAAAATGGGTCCCTGACCCTGAAGTAAGGAGGGGACGGAGGGACTTGCTGTTGTTTTTGTCAACAAAAATTAGGAGATCCTAAAGGACATTCACATATTTTCTAGTATTTTCATGGTGCTAGGATAACATTTTTGGGCACTGGATACATAAGAAACTACTGTTCCAAGAAAAACATTATTATAAAGATAAATTTCATTAAGCTATCATAAATCTACTTCAAGGCCTTAAAAAAAAAAATCTAGACTGTAAACCACAATCCTTTATTTACATGGCCATAGCAAAGAAAATAAGAGGTCTAACAGTGACTCCACTGTGTTCAATATAACAAATCACTAGGGTGTTGTAGGAGATAAAGCAGAAAATAGTGAATCAGAACTTAGAGTCTTCTTAGAAGACCTTCTCTCTATAAAAACAAAAGGAAATCATATAAGTTTTAACAATAAGATATGGTAGACTCATGAATTAGTATTTGATAAGACTAATTTGAGGGGAACTCATTAGAGAGAAGATATATTTGAATTAATTTATAGAAAAAAGTTTTTAATAAATACCATTTTAATGTGTGGGCATACAGACTAAAAATTCCTCTCTTGTCGATATGTTTTAAAGGAGCAACTTCAAAATGCAGCTGTAAATGATTAAAATAACATATAAACTGCTTACATATAAAGATCAAATCTGTTATAAGACTTTATATAAGCAATCTCTGTCAAGTATTTATGACATTGACAATATCTTTTTACATAATGCATACTTCAGCCTATGTGACTTTAAAAATTATTTAAAAATAGAAACAAAACCCTCAAATAAAGAATCCTCATTAATAAATCCTCAAGGGAAAACACTTTAGCCAGCATAGTTGACAAAAGAAAAAAAGAAAGATGCAGTAAGTAGTTCTATCTTAGGAACATATTAAGAATTTACAAAGAAACAAAACACTACAAAATGAAAATTTCTGATATAACCAAAACAAATTCCAATAGGCACAAATAATTCCAACAATTTCCAGTAGACACACACACACACACACACACACACACACACACACAGCAGGGAGAGGTGTTAGAACTCTGTGCAAGGAGGTGGAGAAGTACCGTCATGTGAAAATACTTAAAGAATTAAATGAGAGGCAGGGAAAATGCAAATACACAGAAGAACAGGAGTATCGTATCATCCTCAGTGATGTTTAAAAAGAGGTAGGTTAATGTGGCTAGAGCATCAAAACAGCCAGCATTTGGGAGTTTCTGCAGATTTTTGGTGCAGGCACTCATAACAGTAAAAGAAACAATTTTATGCAAGGAATTCTGTAAACCAGCAGTAATGCCTGATTTTTATCATGTCTAGAAACAGTTATCTTTTACCAGAAGAGAATAATATTTCAAATCCTACCCAAAGCAGCACAATATTATGCCAATCTGACAAATACCGAAGAGTTTAGATAGGGAAAATAACACACTGACACAAAAATAAAATCCTTTTAAACAAAAAAAGACGTCTGGATTACACAAATTGTGTACAGGAGAAAATAAAGATAGGGCCGTTATTGACTTGGTGATAGATAATTAGGAAATAAAAAAATAAAATCTGAATATGAGCAAGTGCAACCGTAAAGAGCTTCTGAGTCATTCTTGTTTATTAGATTTTTTTTTACATTTAGAGAATTATCCTGTCAAGTTTTTTGAGATATACAAAAAATAAATGGAATATTATTTTAGATCTCATAGGTGAAAATTCAAAAGCCATAAAATAAAATGTGAAGTATATTATTTCCAGAAACTTGATGAATTTTCTGTTTATAATGAACTGAAATGACTATGCAGAAAAAATAACTATTCAAATGTTTAAACCAAAACATTATCAGCCATTTTGCTCCATATGAGTGATGTAAGTCTTAATACTGCCTCTCACTCATAGCCTCAAATTCTACTTAAAACTAATCAAACATTAAATGCTCCCTGTGTTGCTGGCATTTCTAATGCTACGATTTTCTTGTGATTTTATAGCACTGAGAATAGAGCTGTAGATACTGTTGTAGATATAGACATATTTATAATAAAATATGCCCTATATAAAAATATGTTACATCGAATCTTAAATTGGCACAGAAGACTGCAAATCAATACATGTAAATTAATCTTAGCATGGTGGGTTCATTTTCAGGAAAAGTTAAATAATAAAGTTTATAAAAGCATCTACTCTTTGGCTAGTTGCAACAGAGAACAACTCACCATTAGTAACTGAAACAAAAATTATATATTCACTTCATAGACAGGGTAAATTATAAAAAGATTAACTCAAAGTAGTCAAGTATATTTTTGGCAATATACACTTCTATATTGGGTTGAATCGATGAAACTCTTCTTTTTATTGGTAAAAAGGTAAAATATTGGTAATTTCCTATGGTTCAGGCTAAAAGCCTTAGCATTAACTATTTAATTCATTTCATTCCATGCAATATTATAATCTAAATGAAAAAAATATATTCACTGTCTAACATCTATAATTCAAATAATTTTTCTATCCTACAACAAAGAAAACGAACAAATACAATCAGTGATTTGTGTTGCTTCCAAACTATGAAATGAAGAGATTGGGTCTTTTAGCAAATTTGAGCACATAATATGTAGATTGTTAGGTAAAAATGACTGCTGTTTTATTCTTCTTTGATGATAAAGAATATGTAAAAGAGGAAAGTTATAAATGAGAACAAATTCACAATGGAAATCAAGAAAACAACAAAGTCTTTTATGATATTTATAATAGATTAAGAAATATTTGGACAAAGTACATTAACATGTGAGCTTCTTCCTCTAAATTACGGCAAGTTCATAATTTTTTTAAAAAAGGGCTGAAAATAATAAAGGCAAGAAGGCCCTCATCAAATGTTGGCTGCTCAGTCTTGGACTTCCTAGCTTTCAGAACTGCATGAAATAAATTTTTTTTCTTATCAATTACCCAGTCTTAGGTTTTCTAGTTATAGTAACAGGAAACAAACTGAAACAACTAGTGGTTAATCAATCAATGTAAGTGAAACAGGACCATATATTTATGTACTTATAGTTTAGTAAGAATTACAAGGAAGAAATTCTCAATTGTATCTGGTCCTAAAAATGCTTGTAGAAAAAAACATGAAAACGAAATTTAATATGGTCTTTAAAAATTTTTTGTACTTAATTATAACACTAGTTATATCAAAGTTTTGATATGGCTAATATTTGGTCAGAAACAACAATGTGGCTATACTAGTTGTTAAAATACTAAATAATATAATACTTAAATACTGGTTGGAAATGGCCACTGCTCCAAGCTCTCCAAATGTCCCTTTCTCTGTGGAGCCAACTCCCACCAAGACACCTCCATATTCCCTAATGTTAACACCTGGTACAGCAGGGATCCCCTAGTATTCTGGCATCCACTATGATGCCAGAATGGTTGGTGCCTGTAGCATAACAGTTGTTACATGTATCAAACCTCTCCCCTGTTAATAACACAGGAGATAGTAGCAGAAGCTTTGAGCTTGGAGATAAAGAGGCTACATTACAACAGTGCTACTATCTGAGTAAATCCCTGGACCCTTCTAAAATTTCAACTTCCTCCTTTTAAATGAAGTACGTACTAGCTACCTAGTAGGACTGTTTGTGGATTACATGCAATGACATAAAGTGCTGATTAGCACACAGTAGGCATACCATTTACCTTCCCTTTGCCTTACTAAAAACATAGTAAATACTACCTGAAAAAAATTAGTAAAAAATGTAGTATTTTACAAACTACTTGTGTGTCAAACACTCATTTTTGAAGTCAGTAGCCTGGTCATTATAATGCATTTTCCCAATACAAATCATTATACAAAAGTGGCTATACATCTCAACCACTTCTTATCTCAGTTTTCATATAAACTCAACTTTATAAATTCTAATTTTACCCATAATATACTGTTTTCTACATGGAAAAAATCAAATATTTATTGAGCATTCATGCATACCAAGGACCATTCTAAATATTGCACATTTAAGTTATTTAATTTTCGGCTGGGTATGGTGGCTCATGCCTGTAATCCCAGCACTTTGGGAGGCCAAGGTAGGTGGATCACCTAAGGTCAGGAGTTCAAGACCAGTCTGACCAACATGGCGAAATCCCTTCTCTACTAAAAATACAAAATTAGCCGGGAGTGGTGGCGCATCCCTGTAATACTAGCTATTCAGCTGAGGCAGGAGAATCACTTGAAACAGGGAGGCAGAGGTTACAGTGAGCTGAGAACGTGCCATTGCACTCCAGCTGGGGCAACAAGAGTGAAACCCTGTTTCCAAAAAAAAAAAAAAGTTATTTAATTCTCAAAGCAACTTTATGGGATAGTATGCTCCAATCTTCCCCAAAGTAACAGATGGAAATCAAAGCTAAGAGAAGTAAAATGCTTTGGGTCATTTGGCAAGAAAGTGGCAGAGCCAGGATTGAACCCAGGCATGGCCCTAAGGTCCTTGATTAGGCTCCAAGACCTATGATCCTATTCACTAAACTATAATGTCTTTGGAATTATTTGAATTATAAAAGAACATTTTAAAAGATCAAAACATTTAGAAAAATACATGGCAGTTTCTCAACTTGTGATGTAAACAAAACTGGTCAAACTATGCAAAAGAACAAGAAAAGTATACTGAATTATCTTAACTAGCTGGTGGTTTGAGGAAAAGCAGGCTGAGGCAGATAAGATTGGTGGAGATATAAAGTGGATTGTCTACTGTCAAAGGCTTTGAATACTAGTGTTGGTTATTCATCACAGCTAATGTTGCTAAGAGTTTACTTTTCCTTTTCTTATTCACATATCTATCATTGAGTTTTATAAAATGTTACTTAAAGGGTAGTAAATGCACTAGGAAGCCTGGGGTGCAGGACATGGACTTGATCTCTCCCTCTTTTTGTAGAGGAAGTGCCTTTTAAAAGACAGATTGCGGGCCGGGCGCGGTGGCTCACGCCTGTAATCCCAGCACTTTGGGAGGCCGAGGCGGGTGGATCACAAGGTCAAGAAATCGAGACCATCCTGGTCAACATGGTGAAATCCCGTCTCTACTAAAAATACAAAAAATCAGCTGGGCATGGTGGCGCATGCCTGTAATCCCAGCTACTCAGG